CCACTGCATTCCAGTCTGGGCGACAGAGTGAGACTCCAACTCAAAAAAAAAAAAGAAATATTAGGGCTGGAAGCAACATGAAGCATCAATCTGCATCCCTCTCTCTGGGATGTTGGGGCCCTAGAGGAGATATTTAAAGAGCAGCTTATGAAAGAGAGGAGTAGATTTAGGAAAGGCTTCCTCTCCAGCCTTTCACCTGGGTTGCCTCCTCCCAACACACACACATTCTCTCTGTCTTTCTCTATATATCCCTCTCTGTCTTTCCCTTTCCCTCCTACCCCTCTTATCCAGAAGTTTTACTTCCTGAAGTATGTTTCTTGTAAGCACCCAAACACTAAATACCAAATCAAAACTGGGCTCCCAAACTCCTCATCTCTCTCTCTGTCTTTTTTTCTTTTATTTTATAGAGATGATGTCTTGCTATGTTGCCTAGGGTAATCTTGAACTCCTGGGCTCTTACCTGGCTTCCCAAAGTGCTAGGATTATAGGTGTGAGCCACTGTGCCCAGCCCCAAACTCCTTATATCATATATCTCTTGATCAAACCTTGAGGGGAAAACCTGCCAGATTTTTCAGGAAGGCTGCTTGGATGTGGGTAGTGGGATACAGGAAAGGCCTGTGCCAACTTCCCACTGAACACCCCTCCCAGTTCTCTTCTATTTCTCTTCACAGGTGTGCAGAGAGATGTCTACATTCCCATGTCAAGTAAGTGGGGAGGGTAGATGGGAGGATGTATGGGAGTAGGACAGTAATTTTATGTCTAATTGGAAGGAGATTTAGTGTTCATTTAGTCCAATTCCTCTTTATTAGTTGTGGAAACCAAGGCACAGAAGGGGGACGTGCCATTAGCTGGGGAGTCAGAGCCAGGACCTAGAACCTGGTCTCTGGCCTCCTAGTTTCTTCCTGACTCTTCTCCTAGCTCCCTCACCTCTCTTGCTCACCTTTGTCTTCCTGCAGACTACAACCAGAGTTGACTCCTCTATATGAGGTAAGAGTGTCTGGATCTGGGAAAAGAAAACTTCAGTGTGCAGGTCTCACAGGGGAGGTCAGAGGGTCCATTGTTGAGAAGAGGTGGTTGGTCCACAGTGAGCAATGGAATCTGTGTAAATTGAGATTAAGAGAGATCATTTCCCAAGGTGGACCAAGCCTGAACCTTCTCTCTTCAGCCCTCCATTTCTTCCCTTTCTTTTACCTTCAAACTGACAGACCTCAGAAGTCAGAATAAATGGTTTCCTAGCCCTGGTCAAGAGCAAGCCTCCAGTTGTCCCCATCCCCCTGAGTTTTTTCAGCTGATTTTCCAACCAAACAGCATCCCCATACCCAGCGAGGGTAAGGCTGGGCAGACAGCAACAAGGCCACATCACACTGTTTTGCAGCCACGACGGCCAGCCACACCAGCCAGCCACACCTGGTGGGAAGTGGGCCTCACCTGGATCTCTGGGCAGTCTCTGTGAAGGGCCTTGACATTGCAGTGCAATAAAGGTGTAGGTGGAGAGTTTCTGAGTCCAGTCTTAAATTGGTTTTTGGAACCTAAAGTTACTTGGTGACTCTCTAAGACTCAGGACAATCAAGGAACCCGATCTGATGATGCAACCTGGCTTCCAGTCTCCTCCAAGCCCAACAGCCCCCTGCCACCACCACCCCCAAACACTGGGCTAGGCCTGGGAAAGCGGGCCATGGTGGAAGTGAGGTCACCTACCCTTCAGGCCTAACAGGAAGGTGGGAAAGGGAAAGGGAAGCATGTTTCAACCTCTCATCAGTCCTGATCACTCCAGGAGGACTTCAGACAAATTCAACTTGCCATTAAGGTTGTGGGTCAGACTCCAGGCATGCACGAGGCTGATGTGGCTCATATCCAGCCACAAGGCAGCCAGGGACCTGGGCACCCACCCTTCCTCTGGGCACCTAGAGCAACCTACAAACTAATCTGAAACGAGAAGGTGGTATTGAGTGAGAAAGCTGGGGAAGGTGTTTTAGGAGCTGCAAGGAAGACGGGCAGCAGGGGTCTGTGGACTGGCTTATGGAGAGGGGCTTTTGGGAACACAGAATGCCAAGCTGAGAAACAGTGTTGTAGGGATTCCAGCCAAGTCCCAGGCCTGCCCCTCCCCCTTCTCTGGGAGGCGGACTTCTTGGCAGACAGCAGAGAGATGCATGACAAAGGTGCTGTGATGGTTCTGTCCTGGGGGTTGAGGAGATGGCTGGGGAGGGGCCCCTTCTGTTCTAAAGTATGTCTCTCCACCCCCACCAGGCCCTTAATCTACCTGCCTTTTGGGTAGTTAATGGTTGAGAGGTGAACATGGCTTCAATCCCACTGCCTTGTAGACCTATGGGAAGTATTGAAATGCATGCACACATTAGTTGCTGGAAAAGTCTAGACCGGCAGGAGATGGAAACATGAACAGAGGCAGTGTGAAACAGACTCAGATGAGGCAAAAGACTCTCGGAAGCCAAGATGAAGCCAGCTGTCCACAGACAGGAGGGCCCCCACAGGACACCCAGCCCCTCAAAAGGCAGGCAGAGCCACTGACACCAGCAAACAAGCCCAGGCAGGGTTGAACCTGCAACTTAAGTAAGAATCTTACTTAAGCTGACAGAGTCAGCATTCCCAGCTTAGATCCTGGCCTTCCAAACTGGGGAGCTGTGGCCCAGAGTCTTTCTGGAGTCCCCTGATTTACTTCTGGGCCTCCATTTAGGGCCAGTTTTGGGAGCAGACAGACAAACATTCTCATAGACAGGCACTCCGTGGGCTATTCTCTTGCAAACAGAATCAAGCCCTAAGGCCAGCAGCATGAGCCCTCAGGACACTCAGGCCAGGCCCAGAAAAACAGACCCTGAGGGAGAGCTTAGGGCAGCCTTCCTGCACCTTCTCCCCAAATCACTCTCTACCTCCTCTGCATCTTTCCGCCAGCTAGCCCCCCTAGATAAAGTGCATCCTGTGGTCTGGAGGACTGGGGGAGGGGTGAATAAAGAGGCTGGACGCCTCAATCCTCCAGAGGAAGAGAACGGGATACCTGGGTCCCTGCAGGGGGGCCCTTGGTGCCTGTCTGAGGCTCAGTCTTTGAGGGGATTGCAGAGGAGGGTTGCTGGAGCTCCTTTTAGCCTCTCTGAAGGGGGATTCTGTGTGTGGGGATTGGGTATGGGGGGTTGTGGGGCAGGAAGCTGTCCCCAGGGGAGCCATCCAGGCCCATTCAAGGGCTGAGCACTTGTTTAGGGTTAGAGCTGCCCCCTCTGGGGACCGGGATTGTCCAGCCAAGGCCATTGTCCTGCCCCTTCCCCCAGTCCCTCCTAGGCCTCTTTGAACCTGAAGTCAGATATTTTTTTCTCCATCCCCCCCACCCCTTGGTTTTCCCACCTAGGGCTTAGGGCTCAGGAGGTCTGGGCCTCAGAAGTGGGGGGAGGGAGAATGGGGTCTACTACTGTTAGATGTCCAAGTTTCATATGAGGGGGGAGCAAGCAGCTTGATGTGCGGGTCCTGGTGGGGGGAGGGGTCTGTAGGGGGGATGTCAGATCCCTCTGGGCAAAGGTTGAAAAACTCAGACCCAGTCAGTCTTGAGCCTGGCCTCTTGAAGGGGAAGTGGGGGTCATTTCCTGAGTCTGTTAGATGAGGAAATTCTGGAGTCTGATTCTGGAAAATTGGGGGTATGGACTGGAGGCCTTGTTTGGCAGTCTAGCCATGGAGATGAAATGGGACTTGGTGAATAGATGCCGTGCATCCGAGGCTGTGGGGTAGCTGAATTTGGCCAGTATCTGGTGGAAATGCCTAGGTTTTTGGATGGGGTGGGGGCCATAAGGGGGCAGCTGGCCAGTTTGCTTATTGTTATTGTATCGAGGGTAATTCCAGAAGCCCCAGAATTACTTGGCACGTACATGTTCAATGAGTGTTTGAGAAGCTGAGAGGGTGGTGGGCCCCAGTGAGGGGATAGTGCCATGAAGAGAGAGTCAAGCACCTGGTTTCCTGAAGAACGTGGAGATGTGGAAGGGATCCCAGACAGTTCTGAAGTGTGCAGAGATCGAGAGAGGACCGGCAGCCTGTTGGAAATTGAAAGTGAAGTCCTTGTGTGGGTGACCTGCACCAAGGTCCTGGAGGGACGCCTGTTTAGACATCCCCAGCTTTCCGCTTCCACAGACACCACTGCCACCATTAGGCAAACAGCCTTCGCCTCAGTTTCTCCCCCTCCCCGCCACCGCCCTCTCCTCCACCCATCCAGGGGGCGGGGCCAGAGGTCAAGGCTAGTGGGTGGGATAGGGGAGGGAGAGAGGTGTTGAGCAGTCCCTTGGCGATCCCTCATTTCACCAGGCCCCCGGCTTGGGGTGCCTTCCTTCCCCATGGCGGGACACCTGGCTTCGGATTTTGCCTTTTCGCCCCCGCCAGGCGGTGGGGGCGATGGGCCAGGAGGGCCAGAGCCAGGCTGGGTTGACCCTCGGACCTGGCTAAGCTTCCAAGGCCCTCCTGGAGGTCCAGGAATTGGGCCAGGGGTTGGGCCAGGTTCTGAGGTGTGGGGGATTCCCCCGTGTCCCCCACCATATGAGTTCTGTGGAGGCATGGCATACTGTGGACCGCAGGTTGGAGTGGGGCTAGTGCCCCAAGGTGGTCTGGAGATCTCTCAGCCTGAGGGTGAGGCAGGAGCTGGGGTAGAAAGCAACTCTGAGGGGGACTCCCCTGAGCCCTCCACTGTCCCCCCTGGTGCCATGAAGCTGGAGAAGGAGAAACTGGAGCAAAACCCTGAGGAGGTGAGTGAGCTGCAATGGGGATGGGTTAGGTGGAGGTGGCCAGGTTGGCAAGGCGGCAAGAGGGGGAAGTGGTCACCTGCAGCTGTCCAGGCTGAGGAGCAGGCAGGGTGGCTGATCTGGCAGCAAGGAGTGTATGGTGACTGCAGGCAGTCCTGGGAGGCAGGGGCTAGGTAGGAACTAGAAGGTGGAATTCAGAGAGACAACCGCAGGTGAGGGCCAGGTGGCCTGGGAAAGTCGGAAGCTGGACCAGGTTGGCCTTAGCTCTAGCTCAGCCCGTGTCAAGAGGGCCTTTCACTTCCTACTCCTGCCCAGGGTCAGGTCACTCATTCAGCCCAGCACCAGACTCAGTTGGAGATTTGTTTGAGCCACTTCTCCCACCCTTAGTCCTTCTTGAAAGGTTGATCCTTATCAGACCCAAAATCTTGGCCTTAGGGTTAAGCATGGCCCGAGGGTAAAACAGTGCTTATCCTGGGGTTATTGTTCCTGAAAGTCTAGGGTGTGACTGCTTTCTGATAGGAGCTTCTGTTTGGGCTGTGTGTGTACACACACGTGTGTGTGGAGCTGAGTTTACCTACGGTCAAGTTTAGGGCTTGTCTTCCCTCAACCTCTGCCTCAGGCCAGTGAGACGCCATTGGTAAAGTGCACATCCTGGCACTCCTTTAAAGAGAGTTGGATTTTGATTGATTTCAGCCTGAGTTCCAATCATTGTAAACAAGACAAAGAAATGGTGGGAGAAGTTACTCAGGCCATTTCCCAAAAAGTAGGGTTGCTGAGGGATTGAAGGCATCCAGCCCTGCTGGGAACTATTAAAGGTGTATCTCGCAGTCCTCCAAAGCTACAAGTGTAAGCAATTAGAGATCAAGTACTAAGCCTTGAAAGCTCACAGAAGGTGTGAGTGGCTTCTGGCGCTAGTAGCCCCAGACTCTTCACAGGAGGTCACTGCTAAGCCTTGAATAATAATGACTGCCAATTGTGGTCCACTTCCTAAGTGCCTGGTTGTGTGCTCAGTTTATACATCATTATCTCATTAACCATCACAAAATCTCCTAGGGGGGAGGTATTATTAGCCTATTTCATGGGTCTTAACTGCTAAATGGTGAAGCAAGGATTTAAACTGGGGTTTACCTCATTCCAAGTCCCCAGAATTTGGAAAATCCAAGATAGCTAAGGGCGTTAATGGGTTTGAGTCATTGGCTGAGCAGAAGTTGGGAATGAAAATTAGCCTATTTGAATTTGATATGCTTGATCACCATTGAAACACTTCCTTAAAGCTTCCAGTACTACACAAAGTCCTTGTTTTTTCTCCCTAGCTGCTGCTGCTCAGTCCCTCTGGCTGCTTCATTGACGTGCCCCAGGGCTCAGTTCGGCAACCTCTGCTCTAGCTACCCTTCCGTCCTCTCATCCACCCTCAAGGTTTAAATAACATTTAGATATCAGATGTCTACCACCTATTCTGTCTCCTGCACTGGCTCCCTGAACTGCTCTAGCCAATTCCCAGTTGCTCAAGGCTAAACCCAGTCATCCTTGGTTCCTTTCACATCTTACATCCTATCCTTAGGGAAACATCCTGAATCAATCAGACACCATCTCTTTTGGGATTACTGAAGTAGCCTCCTGTATTATACTATAACCTTGCGTCTCTACAGTCTATGGTCAACACATCAACTAAATTCAATGTTTAGAAGGTGAGAGTTAGATAATTTCACTCTGACTAAAACAAGTCCATGCATCTGCCAGATCTGCCTAGCTGTGCTGGTCTTGTTGCCCCCAGACCCCCCTAGGGCCTTACCATTGGGCTCTTAGTCTTTGCTCAGAGACCTCCTCCTCCTTCCCTCTTTTACTCTACTCCTATAGCCTGCTTTTGCTTTTTTCTATAGCACTTCTGTCATGCTGGTTGTTTGGGCTTTTTGTCCACTTTGTGTAGTCACTAGCTTATAGAAGACACTCAATAAATCTGTTGAATTTAAAATCAGTGAGACTTGGAAGGCTGAGGCGGGGAAGGATCACCTAAACCCAGCAGGTCAAGGCTGCAGTGGCTGTGAGCATGCCACTATACTCCAGTCCGGGTGACAGAGTGAGGCTCAAATTCTAAATAAATAAATAAATAAAATCAACAATGGCTGTAAAGGATGCCTTTACAGTACAAAAAGATACTGTCAAAAGAAGGGATAATCAGCTGGGCGTGGTGACTCACACCTGTAATCCCAGCACTTTGGGAGGTGGAGGCAAGAGAATTGCTTGAGCCAAGAGGTTTGAGACCAGCCTGGGCAACTTGGCAAAATCTCATCTCTATAATAAATCAAAAAATTAGCCAGGCATGGTGGCGCATGCCTTGTACCTCCAGCAACGTGGAGTGCTGAGGCAGAAGGATTACCTGAACCCAGCAGGTTCAGGCCGCAGTGGCCCTGAGTGTGCCACTGCACTCCAGCCTGGGCGACAGAGACTCCAACTCCAAAAAAAAAGGATGGGGGATAATTGGAATTTTTTTTAACAGCAGCAAATATATACAAAGCACTTTATTCACACCTTATGACACCTACTACTTTTTATTTTTTTGAGTCAGAGTCTCACTCTGTCACCCAAACATACTGGAGTGCAGTGAGGTACTCACAGCCATCGCAGCCTCTACCTGCTGGGCTCAGGTGATCCTTCCACTTTAGCCTTTCAGGTAGCTGGAACTACAGGTACGCACCACCACGCCCAGCTAATTTTTTGGTTTATTGTACAGATGAAGTCTTTCCAAGTTGCCCAGACTGGTGTCGAACCCATGGGCTCAGGCGATCCTCTCACCTCATCCTCCCAAAGTGCTGCGATTATAGGCATGAGCCACCATGCCCAGCTAACACCTTTTTATGCTGTGTTAATGTATGTCAAAGTCTGTGAGATCCTCAAAGCAAGCTGGGGAGAATGTATTGAATTTAGCATCAGAGAGACATGATGTTCTTTATTTCTCTAGTCTCAAAACATTCTCAAACTGGGGATAATACTTGAATCAAAGAGACTTATGTGAGTGCTAGATAAGGTAACCAGGTGGGAGCTTCTAACTTTCATAACCTGACAGGTGTTCATTGAGGCCAGGGCCTGTCTCTCCATCCTTGCACAGTGCTCTGCATCTACTGGATGTGCCAGTTTTGGAGGGGAAGACCAGTTCCTTTCCATAGGCATTAGCCAGTGAACAGTGAGTGGGTGAATAACATTTGTAGATAGGTTATTTCTAGATGTTAGGTGGGCAGCTTGGGATGCAGAGGTACTCCCACAGACAATTCCTTGGAGCCATAGTCAGGTTCTTGAAGCCTAAATGGAAAGGGGAGGTTAATAACTGATGTTTATGCTCTTAAAGTCCTCTGCCTTTTTTCATGCAGTCCCAGGACATCAAAGCTCTGCAGAAAGAACTCGAGCAATTTGCCAAGCTCCTGAAGCAGAAGAGGATCACTCTGGGATATACCCAGGCCGATGTGGGGCTCACCCTGGGGGTTCTCTTTGGTGGGTTCCCCTCAGCATGTTCTGAACCTCAAGGACCACATCTTCCCTGGGAAGAAAATTCCTGAACTTAGGCCTTTCCTCTCCACTAAGGGAGTGGGGGGAGGGTGTTTCAGTGCCAGGCTCTACCTTCCCTCAGGAAGAGGGAGGGGGAAAATACTTGGGCCTTGAGCTCCCTCTGGGAAGAGGTGGACCCAGAGAGGGATCTTGTGAGGATGGAAAGGCAGGAGGAGCTGGACACGGTGGCTCATGCCTGTAACCCCAGCACGTTGGAAAGCCAAGGTGAGAGGATTATCTGAGCTCAGGGGTTCAAGACCAACCTGGGCAACATGGAGAGACCTCGTCTCTACAATAAATCAAAAAATTAGCCGGGTGTGGTGGTGTGTGCCTATAATTCCAGCTACTTGGAAGGCTGAGGCTGAAGGATCGCTTGAGTCCAGAAGATCAAGGCTGCAGTGGCCATGAGGATGCCACTGCACTCCAGCCTGGGCGATAATGAGACTCCAACTCAAAAAAAAAAAAAGGCAGGAGGCCTGGGTCTTGGAGTCATAAAGGCCCTGCTTCTCCCTCATGTAGCTTCTCTTAAACCTGCCTCCCCTAGGGAAGGTGTTCAGCCAAACAACTATCTGCCGTTTTGAGGCTCTGCAGCTGAGTTTCAGGAACATGTGTAAGCTACGGCCCCTGCTGCAGAAGTGGGTGGAGGAAGCTGACAACAATGAAAATCTTCAGGAGGTAAGAGTGAGAGAGATGCACAGGGGCCTGCCTGGTCTCAGCCCAGTTTTCATTGCTTCTGTCCCTGGCTTCAGTTCTCCCTCTTGGTGACAGTAGTTCTCAGTGGGATGAAGTGTAATTCCTCAGTTCTGCTAGGAAAGGCTAAGCCACCCCTTCCAGGATCCTCCTTGCTCTGGTGATATCTGGTCACTGACCCCAAGGTACCATTGCTTAGCTGGTCCAAAACTTGCCTTTGTCACCCTCTCCACCTGCCCAGATATGCAAAGCAGAGACCCTCGTGCAGGCCCGAAAGAGAAAGAGAACAAGTATTGAGAACCGAGTGAGAGGCAACCTGGAGACCTTGTTCCTGCAGTGCCCGAAACCAACCCTGCAGCAGATCAGCCACATTGCCCAGCAGCTTGGGCTAGAGAAGGATGTGAGTGCCCGTCACCCCACATGTGCCATCTCCTCTCTGCCTCCCTTGCCCCCCTAGCTGTGGCTCCTTCTCCAACCACTCTGGAGCTGTTGGCTTTGAGGAGAATGACCAAAGCTAGATCTACCCCTCAGAACTTATGTTTTAATGTTACTCTCTTTTGTGTCATCCACTCGCAGGTGGTCCGAGTGTGGTTCTGTAACCGCCGCCAGAAGGGCAAGCGATCAAGCAGTGACTATTCACAACGAGAGGATTACGAGGCTGCTGGGTCTCCTTTCTCAGGGGGACCAGTATCTTTTCCTCTGGCCCCAGGGCCCCATTTTGGTACAGGAGGCTATGGGAGTCCTCATTTCACTACGCTGTACTCCTCAGTCCCTTACCCTGAGGGGGAAGCATTTCCCTCTGTCTCTGTCACCACTCTGGGCTCTCCCATGCATTCAAACTGAGGTGACTTCCCCTCTAGGAATGGGGGACAGAGAAAGGGAAGATACTAGGAAAGAAGAACCTGGAATTTGTACTAGAGTTTTTGGGCTGAAGTTCTTCATTCACTAAGGAAGAAATTGGGAACACAAAGGGTGGGGGCAGGGAGTGGGGAAACTGGTTAAAGGTGAAATTCAATGATGCTCTTGATTTTAATCCCCACATCACGGATCACTTAGTTCTTAAATAAAGAAGCCTGGGACACACAGTAGATAGATATTTTTGTCTTGGTTTGTCTTTCTTTAGTAACTCAGGAGGGGGTGCAGATGGGAATAACTAATACTCTCCTACCCAGGTGACCCTGAAACCAACGTGCCATTTAAACTCCTCAAAAGCCGGGCTTGGTGGCTCAGCCTGTAATCCCGCACCTTTGGAAGGCTGAGGTGAGAGGATTCCTGGGTAACTTGGCGAGACCTCATCTCTACAATATATCAAAAAATTAGCTGGGTGTGGTAGCGCATGCCTGTAGTTCCTGCTACTTGGAAGGCTAAGGTGGAAGGATGGCCTGAGCCCAGCAGGTCAACGCTGGGGTGTCGGTGAGTATGCCACTGCAGTCCAGCCCAGGTGACAATGTGAGACTCTGACTTTAAAAAAGAAAAAGAAGCCAGACTAGGTGGCTCAGCCTGTAATCTTGCGCCTTTGGGAGGCTGAGGTGAGTGGATTGCCTGAGCCCGCGCGTTCGAGACCCGCCT